TGCTGCCTTATGGAAGAACATTGGACATACACATTGAGAGCCACTGTACTGGAGTCAAATTCTTTGTGTGTCCTATGCAAATGGCCAATAAAACAGATTCTGATTAAGTCCTGCTCTGAAGTAGTAGTTTTCTTTAGTCCTAATGTAGCTTTCAGGCAGATTCATAGGCATGATTCTGAGACACTTAACAAAGATGGGCCCTGAACCTTAGGGACATCATTAAGTGACTTGTTGTCTGGGTAAGTTCTCAAAGGAACTGTGTATGGAAGTACATCAATAGATGAAAGGTTTAGTGAAAGCCCTCTTTCTATTGACACACATGGGTGGGCTCATGGGTTGTTAAGTTAAATGGATCTATGGATCCACTAGGACTAAAAAATATCAAAAATAATGCAGTTTGTTAGTTGGGTGAAAAACAAAAACACCAAAAAGGCCCTTTAGACCACTCTCAAAAATCAAAAGGTCTTCTACACACTCAAATTTGACTTTGACATTTCTGACATTGCCTCACATTTATCATGACCTGCTACACTCTCATCTCATATGCATGTTGACTGCGTCTCAATCTTAATGCAGCAAAAATGTCCAGGGGATCTAAATAAGGATAGGTGGATTGAAAAACCACCCTCAATTATTCATTTATTTGCTCAGATGCGTGTCCAGATTTGTAACCACTTCATCAGTTTGGCCTCTCTGTGGAGACACCTGTGCTAACTATTTGCCTGAGTGTTAATGCCCTTCTCTTAAACCCAAGTTTTACATTTGTGTTGTGTTTAATTTAAAGGGAACAACCTCACTTTATATGGCAGCATTAAAAAAGAAGAATTTAGCCTTGCTCTCCTCTGTAGAAACAATTATCATTCTTTACTGTGACGTTTAAGAGCTGCTTGAGGGCCAAACTGAAACAGTGACGTCTCCCTTTTTTGGAACTGCGTGATCATTACATTGGTTCCCTGCTGAGAAGCTGGACCATCAGGCTGATTTGCCTGCTATAGTCGGCCTCGCTACACCAGCCTTTTCCTCCCTGAATCTCCAAACATTTCCTTTGTAGCTGTTTGAGTTAATGCTGTCATTAGACTATTGGATCCTGTAGCCAAATTATAATGTGATCTCCCGCATCATCTATTCTCCTCTTCCCTCTGAGCTGATGAATAGCTTAAGGTCAGACTATCAAATTAGTGGCTCCCATTACTCCCCAGACACTAATGGCATCTTTATGAAAGGAAAGATATGTAATTTTTTCAAAAGCCTTTTGGAGACCAAACAGTTTGTCTGTAGATGAGATGTGAGTGCAGCGCATGGTAAAGTGAACGAAGAGGGGGCACAGTGTATGCCTGTAAGAGCCAATCTCAGCTTCACTCTGCCTCCCCACACAGAAAAACACATACTGCACCACATTTTCAATGCATCCCAGTCTGCTTCTGTTCATCTGTTAATCTGTGTATGTGTCACTGCACCCTCAGTTATGCTACATCTCATTTCATAATGGATAAAATAAAAAGAAATGGCACACAGAATAACAAAGCAACCACAGACTGAGATCAGTTCAATAGTTTTGGTCATTCAACCCTCTCAGTTGAAGGGTGGCTACACTGGATAAGCAATATTTTAATCCTGAATGTCACTGTGTAATAATAATAATAACTGTATGGATTTGATTATTCACAAACAATAAGGAATATATGGAAATGAGTAAAAACAAAGCAAAACAAAAGAGAGATTCCTACAATGAAACTATATCATTGAATGCATGATCGGGGACCACCTGCAATACCTCCACAGGCCACCAGTGGACCAAGGACCACTGGTTGAAAACCCCTGTTTTAAATGATGTTCAGTTTATTAGAGAGTCATGACTCATGGTCAAAGGAAGCACACCAAACATTTAGAATATTATAGAAAACAACTTCTTATTCCTCCATTCCTCAAAAGTTTCCCCTCCTCATATAATTTTATTGCTTTGACTGTGTCTTTGAATATGTGTGCTTGTGATACAGTCTGACAAATACAACACTTATCCTGGATCCTTAGAGCAGGACAGGTTCCTACAAACCATCTGGAGTTTAAAATCCAAAGTGTGCCTTGGTGATTTAATTAAGGGGAATGAGGAGGAAGGTCAGCCCTGAGATGGCAAACTCCTAAGTCACTACTCCTATTACCCCTTGGTCTCCAGTCCCCAAGACAAAGTACAGGTTCGAGTCATCATCTCTCTTTGCATGACATCACTGGGCTGTGTGACCTAAGATTAGGTTACACACTATCTATTCCTGTATCCTGTAGTCTGGTTATATTTTAATATGCTCTTCAAATTTAATGAATATTACCCCACTACCCTTACAACCTTTTTTAAAGACCTTCAGGATTTCTGATGATCCCAAAAGGATCTTGTTACCTTTATAAGTGAAAAGGCCGGGGGCCTGTGTTGGACTGGCATCCCTAACTATCTCAATCTTCAGAGGGACTCATTTACCACACACTGATTTAGTACTGAAGGTCCAAAAGGCAACAGATGTGACATATGCCTACAAAAAAGAACTCATAATAATTGGCTTCAAAACAGAATAAGAGAGATAGTTCTTTGGTCTGAAACCTCAGAAGTGCAGAAAGCGGTGTCTGTTCCAACTTGATAGATTTCTTCTCAATTCTTAAAGGATTTGTAGCTTCTATAGCCACAAAGTCTGCTAATACTCATTATAGAGACAACAGACGAGCAGACAGATATCTGCCACAGGAACTTTATGAGTGCTAGCTTTGTTGTGTGTATGTGTGTGTGTGTGTGTGTGTGTGTGTGTGTGTGTTATGTGAGTACAAGTTGGTTTCTGTATGCAGTGTGAAGGCAGGCTGGTAATGTAGCTCCAATTACATGGCTTGCCTAAAGGGAAGAGCAGTGAGGCTGATTCAAGCATTTGCTACTTTCTGATGCAGTTGCTGACCTCACACTGTCTCCCTGTCTGGGCAATTATTTATCAATAAAAATATTTATTTATTTATCATAAAAATTCTCTCTCTCTCTCTCCATATATATATATATATATATTTAAGGACAACTCCACCATAAAAAATGTGAAAATGTATGTACAATATGATGGGGATGAGGGAAAGGTTACATAACTAACCTGAAAAGTACTAACTTTGTACCTGAGGAAACACCACCACAAAAAATGTGAAAATGTATGTACAATATGATGGGGATGAGGGAAAGGTTACATAACTAACCTGAAAAGTACTAACTTTGTACCTGAGGAAACAGAAACAAACAAACAAGAATTCTAAGCATTGATTTCAGGCCATTACCATCAGAAAATCAATAGAAAGTAAAGCTGAAGTATAATTTTACCTTCACCTCTTCACTGGTTGCTTGCCAATATTAAATATGTTTTTAAAAAGTGAGACTGATCCAGTAACAATCGGTGCAACAAGAAACGTTTTGAAAAAAAAAAAAAGACAAAAAAAAGCTTGAAATAAAAAACATCTTCCACAACATAGAAAGGCAGTGCTCCTATTAAATCTTAATCTTCAGTTAAATCATATATTTCCTGAAAGCTTTTAGGTGATTCAGTAGCAGTGAAAAAACATTTCAAGTCTCACTTTGTTACTGAACTGGACTGAGATAATGATCACTAAACCTGGCAAATTTGTCAGTCTTCCTCTCTGTGTGTCACTTTAAAGTCAAGGGAGGTATTTCCTCTAAAATTCACTCAAGAGACATTCGGTCCTAGGATGTTAGTGAAGCCACCATACTACTGAAGAAAGCTGAAATTCTTTAGCTGAGATGTGTGAGACGTCGTGTGATATCCCAGAGAAATAATCTTCAAATTGGTCACAGTGTACCCTCGTATTAAACTGTTCCAGTGGTTTAAATCATTCATATTTAAGTCTATATTAAGTGTTCTATCTTTCCGCATTCCCAAATCATTATTCAAATATTACATTATTACATTTATAATCCAAATTCGTTTGGACTCACTGTAAGCGAACATTTCTTTTTTTTTTTTTTTTTTTTTTTTTTAACATTTCTGAATCTGATTCTCCAAGCTGGATGAAACAGCACAATGGATGTCTGACCTTATTTCCATTCAGAATACATTATGCAATCAAACTGAGGTCTGCGGACAATGTTGATAAAGGAAACTACGTTCCAGCACAGGTCTCCCTGCTTGTGCAAGCAAAAATTAGTCAGCTAAATGGGAAAAATAGGAGCGCCAAAGAAGACATTCGGGCTTTTCAGATCTCAAGTCTGAATGGTTTTTCTTTAGTGCTGTGTTTTGTGCTGAATGCATTGCGACTCTGAGTCACAAAATAAACCAGGCTTGTATTTCAGTGGTTATGAGTGTAGATTATTAATGGGATAGAGACAAGCACTGAGGGGGATGGAATTTTATTACGGTGGCTGCAGGGTACATGTTATTAATTTAAATATTAAATATGTGAACGTAAACATTTAAATGTAATCTGTCAGCGAGTCATCTATAAGAGATGAACAGAAGAGGCAGATAAGACAGGTGTGTAATTCAATTATGTATATCTGGATGGCGTCATTTTAATTTGAACATAAATTTGATGTCTGAATACCAGCCTGTGTTTGAATAAATAACTCAGACTGCCTCTCTGGATTCTGCATGACAGTACTTTAAATCTAAAAACAGTAATGTTGCTTGTAAAGTAGTACCAGCATGGGAAGATGTCACTTTTTGCAGTTTGTGCGATGCAGCTGTTACTTCAAACCATGCTAATCACTGATCTGAATAATAATACCAAGTAATTATCTTGGCATTCTCCTACACTATACCTTCATTTTGCATATATCCTCATCCCACAAAGGCCTTGTACTGTGAACAAATTATTGCACTTCCTGTGTGAGGGAGTGGAAAAAAGTGGGCTAGAGACAAAGTTGTATTTCGCTGAGATGACAGTGCTTGACATGTGAAAACAAAATCTGCCAGTAACCAATCACATACAAGCAATTTAGAAAACACCATTTGAACAAGCAGGACACAAACCTGCAGCAATACGACACTCTGTGGTCAACGTGCACAGTCCCCAGTTCACTGACTGATCCCACATGGTGCTCGGTATGCTGATTGTAGTGACCTGTTGTGAATGGGGACAAAGTTGAGTCAGATTAGTTTTATACATAAACCTGAGTTGAATTTGTGTGAAGGCTGAGACAAAGCAGCTCCTCTTGCAGCAGTATCTGTCCAGCAGAGAGGCTGCTGTTCTCAGAGGAGAGAAGGCGCCACAGACAGTAGGCAGTTTAATGTAAGAGCGTGCACCCTTTTTAAAGAAATTTTTAAATTGCTGACTGTGACATTATTTGCTTCCAAAATTTGCCATTCCGGGTGGTGGAACTGTCTATAAACTCAATACACATTTATGGTAATTGCATTTGTTTTATAATAAAAACATCACATTATTATTAACTACCTGCATCAGAACTCAGCTGTCCCTGGTAGGCTAGTGGTTAAGGCTCTCGCCGCTGCGGCCAGAGTTTGAATCAGGGTTGCGTCAGGAAGGGCATCCGGCATAAAAAACGCTTGCCAAATGTCAACATGCGAGTCGTCAGTGTGACGATTCATTGTGGCAACCCTTAAACGGGAAAAGCCAAAAGTGACTTTCTTACTTGCATCAGAACTCAGTATCAGCAAGCACATCAGTAGTATTGTATGCCTAATAAATACACATTTAATTGTGAAAAATTGTGGCACAATAACAACTTTGTTGTGTCCTGTGTTTGTGTATTCTGTATCAAACTCCAAGTCTATGCTAATGCTCCAAATTTCCATTTGTCCAATAGTTGTTGAGATATTTGAGTTTTAACTACAGTGGCAGACTGACTGTTCATGCCATGGCTTCAAACTCTTTGCTTAGAGACACCTCTTGGTTTTATAGATGCAATACAGCTTATTTTTAATGTACTTTCCTGCAATTCTCAAGACACAGAAGGCCCAGGTGGTCTGGCAACAAAAATCCATCAGCAGCTTTTCAGGTTGGAGGGAATAAGGTATCTCCATGACAACAACGAGCATTATGGAAAATATCATCAATCAAATGAAAGAACGTCACAACATTGCTACAGGAATTACAATTACGTTTTTCTTGCACAACTGTGCATTCATAGGATTTTATTACTTAGATTAGGTTTATGATCTGTCAGTTTATAAAAAAAAAGCTGGTAGGTAAATGCTAAGAATGGTCATTTAGTTTTACTGTCAGTGTAATTGTATGAACGTTCTCCCTCACAAAGAAGCTGAATAAAGCCAATTGTACTTCAACTCCTATTCCTTCTCCTTCTGAGACACTTATTTGTCATCTCACCCATGAGTGGATGACAATGGTTAGCTTATAGCTCAACAGCATGCAGCACCTTGAAATAGTGGTAAAATAAATAACCTTGTACATCTGTTGGCTTTGTATAAAGAGCAAAAGCCTGTCAACTGACTAAAGCACACTGACTTGGACATTAGTTTAACATCTTCTAAGCCTTGTTGGTGAAAGGAACTTGAGAAGAGAAGGTCAGATTCAAAGCTAAAGATCAATGTAGCATTGATTTTAGCCCACAGATGGCTTTCTCAAAAGTGCCTCAACTTATCTTTCACTCTTTCTCTTCCTCATATACAGTATGAAGATGAATATGGATACAAAACAGGAGAAAACGGGAGGGAATGACCTTTTTGATGATGAGAACACCTGCAAGCATCGTTTTGACTCCGACTGGTTCTGCAGTTCAAAAAGAATCACAAGTGATAGTACAATGTTTGTGGGACATCATTTTAAATTTGCATGAATAATCCCAAAGCAACAGTGAAAAAAAGGGTTAATGTTAGCAGATTAATGACAAAATGGATTTTGGGGCTGATGCTGTTAGCAACCATTAATGTGAGTTTGCAATGGCAGCTTTCTTTTCAGTCAGTTTCATCTCTCCAGTCATTTGCACAGACAGCACAATGTTTCTTTCAGCCTTGCTCAAGTTAAATTTATACAAGTTAGGGGTAATACAAACTTGATGTAATTATTTAAATAGTAAATGAAAATTCATACTATCCACCGAAGCATGTGGGCCAACTGTATTTTTGTGTGCTAATTGCTGCAAATGACTCCAAACTGCTTTTGTATCAGTTAGCATCACAACATTATTAAATCATAACTGTAATTATCATTAACCTGGTCTTCATTTCTCCAGGTTTTGCTGACAGATTCTTATCAGATTGTGTAATTGCTCCACAGCAGAAACCAGCAGACAGCAGGGTAAAAGGTGAGCAAGCAATGTTATGACAGGCCACTTATTCAGCTATTTAAAGACAGGTTTCTGCTGTTGTCAGTTAGAGTGAGAGTAATGAATGTGTTTTAATTGATTATGCGTTTGACTTTTTGAGCTTCCCTTTACACAGCTGGTGTGCAGCTTTCTCTGCAAACATGTGGTTCGAAGATGAAGTAGAAAAACCTGGAGGAACAATAGAAAATGATCCAGATAATCTATGTCACTAAACTCTTTTAGTGATTAAGTCATCTGCCGACGAGCAGCAAGTCATGTGAATGATTTACTTTTAACACCTAAGATTTGCAGGTCAGATGCTTTGTGCAAACAGAATAGGAATAAATCTACCTTCTATTTATTCCAATAAACATGTTGTGCATCAGCAAACCTTTCACATGCAAAGGATGGATGAAAGAGGATGCATGCAAGACTCAAGATACAGGTTTTTGGTCTTAGGTTTCTAGGTTTTATGTACCAGTGCACCCACCAGGCCTTGTCTCTATGATTTCTTTGGACATTTTGCAAATGACTTCCAATGAATGCTTCCTACAGTGTCTACAATATCATTACAATTATGTAAGATCATAGTTATGGCCAATAAAAATTAGTTAGTGAAGAAAGTGTGCAAGTGAAGCTGCAATGTTTCCTCTGAACCTAATGGCTAAGTAAATTGAATTGTATAAATATATTTGATAGGACACAGTGTTATGATAAAAATACTGCAAGGTCTAAAACCTATTTGACTGACTGACTGACTTCCCTCAGTCTCTGTAGGGCTACATCATGTTATTTCCAGTACCTCACATCCATCCCCAGGAGTCACCCATATTTCCATATTCAAGTGATTTGATGGCAGGAGAGGTAAAAGCTAAATTCAAAGCAAAATGTTTCAATTTTCAACAGGGGCATGCATGTGTGTCCTCCTTTACGGTTAACCAACACTGATATCGGACTTGTTGTTTGCACAGCTTGAGTGATGTGGCACCAAAGTGACCTACAAAACAGCCGTGGTGGGGCCATAAATCACATTGGGTCTGGAATTAATCACTGAGTAGAGGACATCTTCTGCCACCACTGTCCTCTCACAATCACTCTCCACAAAATGCTCGCTCCCTCCCTCTACCCATTCATCCTTCTTTCTTTTCCTCCATCAGCCACCAAAGCAACCACTGATTGGTCTCAAGACGAAGAAAGACGTCCTTTTCATTGCTTGTTTAAAATGCATGTAAAAGTTTATAGAGTTGTCTGTGAGCCAGCTGTCTGAAAAGCTTTTCAGCAAAGAGAACAGAAGACAATGAGGACTGTTTTTGACATTAAACTCAAGACCAGTTTTATTTCCAGATGCTGATTATAGGTACCAGGATTAGAGCAAGAAAGGGTGAGAAGGAGAGGGGTGTGCTTGATTTATTAGACAACAGACACCGTGGGGATCCAGTCAGTGTTACGGTGGATGCCAACACCAAACCGGCATGAGGCTTAAGGCATTTCATTTCAAGGGCAGCTGCTGTCAGTTCAAAGACAAGCAGACACAGTGGCCATTGTATTCACTGTAAAGCTTAATCTGCCCCTTGCTTTGGCACACTGCAGCAGTTCACTGGGAAATTACACAGCTTACAATAATTACAATTTTATTTCAGCAGTCAGTCATAACAACCTGACAATGAATATATATATATATATATATGTATATATACTGTATGTGTGTGTATATATGGAGAGAGAGAAAGGGAAAGAAATATAAAAATAGTTCAAAATGAAAAAAACTTCTGGTTCAGGGATTTTTGCTTTTGGGTCTATCTTTCTCCACAGTCATTTGTTCTCCAGGTGGCCTAATGGATTACAATCTCACACTATAGGAGACTAAAACGTTCAGTGTGTAAAAGTTGTCTGCATGTCAAGCCAAATTTGAGACTGCTGCTGCGATGCTGTGAAGCATCTTTCACCTCTCACCTCAGTGGGTTGAGGCAGATTTGATAGCTTATGATTATAGCTGACAGCTGTCCAACATATTTTTCAGAGGGCAGTCAAAGGCCTGTGCGTGAATAATGTCCAATTTTTTTTCAGAACTTATCACTTTATCGAATCACATGCATACTAATTCATAGAGTGCTTTGGCTAGGCAGACTGCCAAGAAAGAACAAGGCCACGAGGACGGGTCAGGAGCAGACTTCCCAACATCCCAAAAGATTTCTAGAGTATTCTTGATGTATCAAGACTTAGAATACACTCATCCAAGATCAGCTTTTGAATGGCAGCTCAAACAGAGCAACACAATACCGTAGTACACCCTACGTGACAGAAAAAAAAGAATCCCCAAAAACGACAAACATAGTGAACCTTGATGACAGTGTCTTGATTTTATAAGCTTTATATTCATTTTCCTTTCATTTGTTCCTGATTATGGTAGAGTACAGTATGTTAGGCTGTAGTGACTATTAAAAAATCATTTACACCTCGGTTTTAAAAAAACCGAGGTGTAATGTTTTCAAATAATATTTTTCATGAATTAGAAAATCTAAAATGTTTTTTTTTTCTACTTGTACTTGTTAAGTTTTCTTTTTTTTCTGTTGTTATTTTGTTAAAAAAGTTTGTGTTGGCTTTTTCAGTTTTTCCATTGACATGTCAGCCAGAAAAAACCCAGATTGTCACCCTACTCCCCCCCATGGGGATCAAATGTGTCATATTGACTATATCTTACTGATTTGCCCTGGTCAGTCAATACACCCTAAAAAAACAGTTATCCTGCTGTCACAGCAATTACTCAGAAACTGCAGCAAATGGCTTTGAGAAAATCAATACTTTCCAATTAAGAGACATTTTCTCCCAAGGGACAGCG